CCTCGGTGCCTTGATCAGCCCCGTTTGGCTTTCCGCATCTGTCCGTCGACGTCTCGACCCCCGAAAAATGCACCCTCACTCCTCAAATCGAGGACACACAGCCGATTACCGAGTCGCTCGTGTTTGGACAACCGTTTAACCCCTTGTCCCGCAATCACGAGTCGAATTCGCGAATATTATTCGTGCCTTGACGGGCTAATTTCACGTTCGACCTCGATTCTAATAGTGTATTTGATCTTTACAGTGAATTTTCCAATCACTACATTGTTCTATTTAATCGTGGAATAATAAAGAAATGCGAAGATGGATATCCACGAGAAAGAAAGTGATCAGAATCGATAAACAGGAGGAGCTTAATATTCGCCGATGTTCGCCTATGTGTTCGATCATCCGTCATCTTCCGGAAGGAGAATCCATGGATGTCGAATCATTAAACGACGCGGAAGGAGGTGAAGTGCGAATCGGCAAGAACCGTGTAGTTAGATAAAAAAGTCGGATGGTCCCGATTAAAACGAGAGGAGAAATTACAAGGACAGCGGCGCCCGATGACGACGCGATATCGCGCTTTAATCAATTAGCGCATACCTACGTAATCAAATCGGAGCACTGGCAGAGCGAAGCCCGCATCCATATGTACAGCGGTTTAAAACCCCTCCCAGCAAAATAACTCGCGCGGTTTTCAGACCCATTCTCGTCCCAGTCATCCGCCCCTTTATCATCGAACTTCCAGCTCATCCCACCAATTCTCTCGCCTACGCCGCCGCCGCCGTCTCCCTTCCCGTCTCGACCCACCCTACCCTTCTCTGTCCCTCCTGTCTAAGTAGTACATTTCTCGCTGAGCAAATCGACGATAGCGATTCGGTGATTCGATAGTAGCGACGTTCTTCGAGGGGGATAATTACTTTGACTAGACGTTTGGTCATTGACATTTTATCCGGGGACGTTAGGTTTAACCCTTTGCAGTCAAGTCTCGACGCAGCGAAGTTACGAAATGCGATACTCGATGTTAAATTTGATTGCGATGCAAGTTCCGTTGGTTCATTCGTGTATGATCGTTGTTTATGTCAATTATAAGCCATCGATATCCCGTCGGAAATAGCGCGAAATCTTTCGAGAGCAAAGCGTTAGCTACGGTTAGCGGTCGAAGAGTTCCTGAGAGGTTCAAACAATGCAGCACAGTCGAAGTTCGAGACTGTGTCTCTCCGAAGACGAAAGGTCCGCAGTTCTGAAATTCTCGAAGAATAGATGCTTCCGAGTTTCGCAGTTGTCGGAGAACAAACACCCCCGAATTTCATAATTTTCGCCAGACAGAATTGTTCATTCTCCGGAGAACTATGTTGACTCTCGCAGGGCACTTAAGGGCCGAGAGTTTGCCGACATTTCTCTCTTCCAGAAGCAACCCCCGAAACTCGGGACCATTCATACCCAAAAATAATGGCTTTTGAATTCTTTATAATCGTAGAATGATCATTCTCAACCGAATCCCGTAAGTTATAAATCCAACCGTTCTATTCTCGGCGCCGTCTCAATATAAAATCACTGCGTCGACCAATTTTCGCAGAAAAATAATGAATCTTTTATTCCATCCGCGTTGGATTCAGTAAAGATATACTTTTCACTGCAAAAATTCCTCAACTTCCGATGTCGGCTGCTTTACAATCACTTCCAAAGCTGCGAAGCTTCTTCGATAAGGTGTCTTTGTGTGGTTAGAAGCGTTTCTGATTCCGGTAGGTGCGATCCGGCGAGTATCGCGCGCGCACAGGGTTCGAGCGAGAAAGCGGCGGCGGTGACCCTCCTGGAAAAGCAGAAGCAATCACACTCGGACACGAGGGGCCGCTAATTCGATTACTAAGAGCGCTGCCCTCTTGGCCCGATCCAGTCAAACCACCCTCGCCGTCCTCGAGCCACGGTGATCGTCGACCGGTCCCTGTATTTTTCCTCCCCCACGTCGCGGGGAACGGTCCCCGGGATATCGCAGCCATTAGGCGTATAAAAGCGGCGACCCCGCTTAACCCCCTCGCCGGTTTGTCGCACGTAACTGCATATGGCACGCAGTCGTGTCGACGTCATGAATAAGTGAGCGGTTAACGCGTTAAACGACTTTCGGGGGCCGGAGTTTTCAAGCTGCGAAATGAACTATTCATTTGTCGGAACGATTTAGTTTGTATGGAGAATAGAAAATTTCTTGTGAAATTATATGTAGTATGGAAAACCGATCCAGTGTTTCATTGAAATTTATAAACATGCGAAGGGGGGTAGTTACTTTAGTAGCACTGATACTGGTTTGAGAAATCTATAGAATATTAACACGTTGACTTTGATCTGATTGAATTGCATTATTATTATTGCATCTAGCTGAATCTCATCGCATTAGGTAGCATTGTTCATAATGTAGAAATGTTTTCAAATGGTGGTCGTTTAATTGAGTGAACCATAGTAATACGATTTGGGGTCACCGGTGACCTCCATGGCGTTCAACGTATTAAAATTATACTGTATGCACGTAATGCTAATTATTCAGTACAACATAATCTTAGAAGGAAGAAGAATTCTCAAATGTGACTTTCCTTGTGTCGTTTCTAGACGTTGAGTCTGCAATTGCTTGAGCTCGCGTGTCCGTAGAAGACAAGTAGAGCGTCCTACATGTCGGAACCGTTTACTACCACTTTTCCCAATCGCGTTACACTCCGGACTGGAGAGGAAGTAACGAAAGAAACGGCGTGTCTCGAGATACTCAAGGGAAAGAACGATGGCAGAGGGGCGCAACAAATATCGCGAAAGAAAAGGCCGAGCGTTGCAGTAGATCACCAGCCTGAGTACCACGAGCCACTTTGCCTAACTTGGCGTCGATCTCACCCGGAGTCGATCCATTCTCGCGCGCGCCGCTCCTCTCTCGCTGACCCTTGGCCAGGGACTCGCATGTTTACGGCTTTTAGGGCGCAAGTTTTTGAGCTATTGCGACAACCGGACGGAATCGCCGCAGTGGAACGGTAACCGCATGCTCGCTGATATTTATACGTCTTCCTTGGCAAGCTCCTTCCTCTTCCCTTCGAACATCGTATTGTAAGATTTTAGTTCTAATTAAATCAATACTCTCGAGTCTCAGTTGTCTAAAACGTTATGTATAAAGTAAATTAACAACAGCTGTAACTGCATAGAGCCTTAGTGAATGCTTCCAGTCATTCCCAAAGAAATCATGCTAGTAAGAAGCAAACTTTGTCTCACCAATGAAAGATCACGAAATCTTCACAGTTCCTGGTCCCCTAAGTTTACCAATGGAAAGACTATCAAATTCTCATCCCCGAATATTCTAAAGCATATTTCCTATTCTCTGAACGCCAGATATAAATTCCGCGATTCCAATTCCACTTTCCGCGAGGCAAGAAAAGATTAACCTCGAAAGAAGAGAAGATTTCTGAATTCTTTACTGAATTACTCTTCCGACTTCCTCGCTGTACCAGCAACACGATTAAAGAAGACACTATCCATCCAGGGTTCAACAAAAATTTCCATTCTACAAGCGCGGTTGGAGAGCGAACGCGGCTTTCCCCGTCGGGAAAGAATACTCCGAACCGAACGACCCCGCCCGCTCCTTCACCTCGCGGTTATTTATGGTTTTACTTTCGCGCGTCCGATGGCTGCCGACCGGGCAGATTGCTTTTTGATTTGCGCTTAATCGGGAAAAGTTATGGGCCCCCGAGAGATACGGTCGAAAGGGGGAGAGAGAAAGAGAGAGTGAGAGAAGGTGGGGACGGTCGGTCTCCGCGAGCTCGCAGCCCCGCGTGTAAGGGGCGTACACAACTAACGCGGCGGGCCGCATATTAAACCATAAATTCATGCGAGCTCTGGCCGCAATAGACGCCGAGTTATCGTGGCGAGGAGCGTACATGGCGTTACTTGAACGCGTCAGTTTTTAACGCGATTTTCATTTACCCACGGCCACCGGCCCCCGCCACTCGATTCGAATTCAATTCCGCCCGGGCGTGCGTGTAACTTCCGGCTGTCGATTGCATTTTTTATCCCGCGCCGTGTATACGTTCGCCGGAACGCCCCCCGGTCCGCGGTATCCGACTCTGTTGTCTTTCCGGGTTCGTTTTTCAGCGACCGTGTTTTCGTTCCCAACACTCGGTCGATGGCAACGCGGGAATTCGTGTTGGATGAACTTTCGGGAATCCGGTGATTCCACGAGACTGGCGGTTGCGAGATTGAGTCGAACCTGTGGAAGCGGTGGATGTCGAATTTTCGAGAAATCTGGAGGATTTCGATCAGCGGTGGTAGTAGGACACCTTGGTTTGTGTCCTTTCGTTGGAGTGAAAATTGGAAGAGACGGATGGATACGTTCGAGGAAATTTTACGGGATTGTATTCCTCGTTTTCGATTCTTCAGGGTTTTTCATCCCTTGTAATACTGAGAAGAATAATCGCGAAGAATCAATCTTTATCGATCAATATTCAATAGCATTTAGGTTGAAATTCTTTTAACGTGAATTTGCAAATTGGTTGATACACCGGTGAATCGATTGAAAATTTAAATGAACCTCCGTGAGATATCGATAATGATCGAACGGGCGATTCGACGTGCGGAGGAAGATATGACGGGCACATGAGAAGGAAAGGGCAAGTGGCTGGACGTCGGTTATTGAAGTCGACTTGGCGTGTGGGCAAAACCGGAGGTCGGTGATCGTTAGGTTGCGAACGGTCAGCTATTCCCAATCACTTCTGAGCTTTATTGGACGACGTCCTGAATTATAAACGAAGATCGAGCCCTCTAAGCGTTACGTGTCGGGAGAGGGACGTGGAGGGGGGTTGGTTGGCCACGAATTCGTGCGGAGGTTTCTGACCTTCCCGCACATGATCCTGAAGAGCCAGGGAACGAGCGACTCAATTCGAATCCTTTAGAATATCCTATCGCGGTCCCCTGGAGTCGTATACAGACATCCATATGGATGTCCTTTTAACTTCCGACGCAACAGATGGTAACTAGACTCCGTTCTCTTCAAGTGAATCGTCTATTCTTCGTCCGTGTAACTTGGCCGTCTGTGACTTCGCGCTTTTGGTAATTGAAATTGAGTCGAGAGGATTTTACAATCGAGGCAGAATGGGTTGAAGATTATAGCTCGGATAATTTTCAGTGTTTGTTTCAAAGGAATTGCTCTCTGGATTGTCTATCGACAGAACCTTGGGGAAAAAGATTGTGATTTTATCTAAACTTCAAATTCATTTGCATGTGCTACTTTCTTGTTCTGTGGATTAATTGTTAACAATACTTGGGACAAGGACAAAAATTAATAAACGACTTATCAACCCTTACAAATTGCCGTTCAATCTTCAAAATCTAAAGAACATTTTCTTAGCAATAACAACGAGACTCTACTATCAACTGCATCTACTCCAAAGTAAGCCCCGATATGTCCATCAACCCCTAAGTTTCAAATTATTTACAAAGAACACTCTCTCACCTTTCGCGGTGTCCTCCTGTCCTTGTACCAATGACCTCGACACCTGCGACGGCAGCTTGAGGTCCGTTGGCGTCTTCAAGTCGCCGACGACCTGGCCTTTTACCTCGACGCAGTTCTCCGGGCTCGGGGTTCGATCTCTCGAGATCGGCGGTGGCGACGGGCTGCACCCCAGCAATTTCCTCACCGAAAGCTTCAACTCCGGCGTTTTGATCGGCGGAAGATTCTCGGAGGTGTTCACGACGTCCTTGATCTCCTTCGTTTTCGTTGTGACGGAGAGATCTTCCGGTTGGAGCCGAGCTTCCGGCGACGGCGGCTCCTCGACGCTGCTTGCTTCGACGCTCGACGGTTCCTGAGCGGATTCGCGGGCCGACGCACCAGCATCTGGAGAACGGACGCTTCGGTGAGCTTATGATTTGTCGTGGAAACGTTGATGATAATCCGTTGCGATAATCTTTTGCGAAAGACTGAAATCTTGTGGGGACGTTGAAGAATATTGGTGGAACTTCCACGACAATTGGGGTGGAAGGAAGAATGAAAGAAGACCGTTCCAGTGAACCGGAAATTAGCTTACATTACATCATGGGCGACTGATAGTTTCCATTGGATATTATTATAATTGATGAACAAATGAATTTTCTCTTGCTTGAGAAATTAGAATTTATATCTATGAATGGTTTTGAAGAAGAAATACCTGAGCTCTTCCGGTTGGAAAATGAGAAAGATTCTTATGAAACTGGGTTGACAGTTATTTATCAATTGTTCGAAGAGCGATCAACAATTTGTTAAGGATGTTCATGAAATCTCATATCTAAAATCTATACCGAAACCGATCGTTTAAGGAAGGAAGGAAAGGAAACTGTATTCGGTGGGATCTTCTGACAAAAAGTCCCACGTGCACGTTTCCCAATGTTCTTGAAATCGAACAATGGAAAGCGCGAGAGGATCGATTTATTAACGATTCGGCGACTATGGAAGCGAACGCTTTAAAAAATCTATTGAAACTTACGACGGCAATGCCTTTAAGCAAGCTTATCATTTTGCAAACATTTAATCTAGTAAATTTAAACCCTCAGTAATGAGGAATTAAGCCGTCTCTGCGAAGAACTTTCCGAAGCGCGGTAGGTTTGAGGAATCAAGAAACAATTGCGAAAAGTTGTCACTCCCTGGAACATGGACATTTCACATGAACAATCAATCTTCTGATCTCGAACACTCGGACAACTGCATACAATCCCTGTGTACAAGTACATCCGGTTACGTGCGATACCTTTTCTACCGTTAGCCTCACAAAGCAATAAAATACCATTCCACAGTTCAAAGTAACTACAAGCAGTATCCCGTTGATCACAATTGCTCACAATCTCTACGATTCCTGACTAAATCCTCAGAATCAGAACCTGTAACAAACACACTTGCAACAGAACTGATCTACGCTACAACTCGGTACCCACGAGACGGTCCAAGATACTTGAAACATTCCTCCACATCCCCCATAAAGAAACAACACCAAATATTCCTCTGGAACGATCGACCGCACAATGATATCCAGTCCACGTGGTCCCCGGACAAGAATCCAAGCATCCTCCAATCGAGAAACAAGAAAAAACGAACGTACTGCAATCGTTCTCAGGATCACCGAGTAGATGCGCAACGCTCAGCGTGATCCTCGCGGAAGGTGGCCTCTCGGGGTTCCTGCAGGGGTGCTCCGTGGTTAGACTCGCGTTGTCGAAGCTCTTCGAGACGAACTGGGCGAGCTGCTCCATCCTCGCGGAGAAGACTCGCGCGACGACGCGGCTCGCGCGGCGTCTCGACCTCGTCGTCGTTTCCCGAGGCACTCGGCAAGGGTGCCTAGCCGCGTAGGGGTTGCACGTAAGGGTGTCCAGTAGTACGCGGCGACGCCACGCGTCCCACCAGGACGCCATTCGGACGCCGGCCAATCGGATCATTGCTGGGCGTTCCTGGCACCGCCCAGTCTTCTCCCACCTTCTCTTTCTCTCCTCGTCGACGGTCCCGGTCTATCCTTTCCGTATCCTCATCTACATCGACCAGCCCCTCCACAGCGTGCGCGCCATCCCCGAAAACCGACGCTCATTAGCATTCGCGCCCGCTCGCGCAAACTACCCGTTGCGGCCTATACCGCCAGCCAGCCAGACGCTCTCGCCCTGCCAACCCTCGTGCCCTTGCAACCCCTCCGTCCGAACTACCCTCCTCCTCGCCATCGTGTGTCGTCGCCGTTTTGTCGCTGAAACCGTGCTCTCGCTATCTTCCCCCTTCTCGTTTCCGGATTTCTAGGTGCGAACACGATTTGGGGGGTGGTTTTCACCTCCGCTTCGTTCTATCTCTCTCCGACGAGCGTACCTGTTTACATCTAGAGAGAGAGGGAGGGTACTTATTGCTACGGGCGCTGATAATCGATTCACAATGATTCGTCGCTTGTTAACCGACGGCTATTGGTGTTTGGGGTAGGGTGGCCTTGGAAAGCTTCACTTGAAACCGCGACCGGTGCATTTTTGGTGGATGAAGGTTTTTGGTGGGGTTAGGTTGCGCCAGGAGTAGATTTTCCGCGATGTGACCTTGGACAGGTTCGATGGAAAAGATAGGCGGTTTTTGGTGAATTCTATCAAGGGTGAGTTTCAATTTTTGTTCGACGATTTTACGGAATTTCTTCTTTTAGCTCGAGACAGGAGTTCACTGAGGGTCTTCTTTTGGTTAGGAAACGGAATTCGCGGCGAGGGTGAGATTTCGGTGTGAAATTTTCATGCCGAAGAGGGTGTCCAAGGGTTGGAAGGGATTCCGCGAGGTTGCGGACTCGAACGAAGGAAGACCGCAGTTCGGGAGTTGCACTAGTTCTTGCCCGGCCACGAATTAACAATTGCAAGCTGAAGATGGATACCGGTGATACGATTCGCTGGATCGTTTCATTATTCAAAACGGGTTGATCTCTGTGAGGCACAGAGTTCGACTGCATCTTCCACTATAGTCATTCGTCATCATGAAAGAATTCGCAACGATAATATTTTATTAACTGTAAAGTTTGTCAAGTATTCGAAGAGATTTCTGATAGAAATACGATAATAGTTTCCAATGGATATTGTAGAAAGATAAGATGAAAGAAAAAGTTAATTAGTCATTTAGATTAGAGCAATGCTTAATCTGTGAGTAAAAACTTAAATATTTCTCTAAGAGATACTAATCTGACGATGCTTAAGCTTCGATGTAGGAGATCTCGAGAGGAAGGGCACAATATTCCGCAATTATTTCCGCGCGAGGGAGAGGTTCACACTGTGGTTCGTAGACGTCGCGCCGAAAAATATTTTACATTGAAATGGCCGTGTAACGGCCGGCCCCTCGTCGCATCCCGAGCCGCCGATTGCTGCCGGGGACGGAGCGTGTCCCCGCTCGTATTTGCCGCTACCAAACTCGGCAATATTTAAATGGGATTGCGTTCGGGAATGTAATTGCTCGGGTAAACACGGTTCCGCGTCGCCGGCCCGTGGAACACGGCCGGATACGGACAGAGGGAATCAGGTTGGCGGACGCGTAAACGAACAGGGTCGCTGGGAGGTGGAACGTGGCGGATGGTTGAGCCGGATGGCAGAAGACGTCGATAGTTCACGGGAAGATGAAGGGATCGACGAAGGAAATCGTCTGAAAGATAGGCAATACGATTGGTCCAGACATATCTTTAAAACGACGTCTTTAGAACCTTGGAAGCCTGACGAACACGATTCTAACTTGTTTTTCCTCTGTGTATAATAACTGAAGAGCAGAAATGTCTAGGAAAATGTTAAGCGATATCTACGCTATATATACATTTGCATTCTTTCTATAGATTAAAATTACGAAATGGTAGATTTTCTCTTTATCCCTTATAGCGTCGAGATGCTATCTTGTTATCAACTCCGCTCCTTTCGTTCCAGTGTACTCATTGTCGAATTGTCATAGTTTAAAAAAGCCGAGTAAAAGTAAGAGTGAAAAGGGCAAGTAAACACGCGAACGATGAACCTGTACTCAATGCTAAATCGTTCAATATCCATACCACCCACGTAATCGCGCGATCGCACAACTTCCGATCCCCGACACGTGCAAAAACGAGAATCAGATCGGTATGTGATCAGACGAAATCACGGCGAGACAAAGACACCGGAGGATGAGGAGGCGGGAGGCGGCAAGAACAGGTGAGACGCGGAAAATCGGCAGGGAAATGGATCCGGTCACGTCGAGGATTGAATGACGCTTGCGTGGGACAGGGTCGAGGAGGAGGACGGCACCGCGCGTGGGAGGAGTTGAAGGAAGAAAGGGGAGAGTAGACGTCCGTCGGTCAGGATTAATTGGCGGGACGAAGACGGGGCGCTGTTTAGCTCGTGAGGGGCGGTAGGGGAGGAGGAGGAGAGCGGCGACGA